ACTCTCTCTGAATTAGGACTTATCTATTCAAGTCAATAAACACCTGTTGTGTGTGAAGCAGCCCCAGGCAGTGTGGAGGCTATAAAGACTGCAGCACAAGTGATTACGCTACAAGAGAGCAGACCACCATGAGGTGTCCTAGGAGAAGCACAGCTGCTTTGGAAGCTCAAAGAGATCAGTGACCCTATCTGCAAAGCAATCTGGAAAGGTTTCACTGAGCAGATGTTAGCAGATTACAGCTTTAAAAGCAAGGAAACCCCTCCCACTCCTTCCCTCCCCACTCAGAACACAAGGGCCTTTAGCGATGGCAACACAGCACAGAAGATGACCCCACCTCTGTCGGGACCCCGGCACAGGAGTCCTAATTGCTCTTCCCTGCCGGTATCACCCCCTCGCGGCAGCTCTGATTCTGGGTCTCCATCCTGCCTCGGAGGTGTCACCTGCTCATGAGTGGGGTCATGGCCCACTCTGACTTTAGCCCAACCCACACTCCCAGAAAGATCTGTTAGGACTCAACAGATCATGTCCATATATTTAGCTCCTTACATAAGGAAATATGTAGAGATTTAAAGGTATATCATTTTACCCCCTAAACTATGTAATAAAAACCACAGAGAGCAAAATCCACTGGACTGTAGTCGTGACATGCAAGACATTTGGGGGAAATTGCTTGGGCACGCAATGATACCCCTGACTCCAACCCACTCATATTTTTTTCCATTTCCATTTTGTAGACAATCTATAATAACATGCTGTCAAAAAAAAAAAAAAAAAGTATTTCCACAGGAATCAGCAGAATTTTCCAAGGTCCTATCCAAACCGCTCTGTACACATTCAGAATCTGAATCACAGAATTCCTTTTCTGCTGTCAATCACCAAGTTTGTTTTCTTTTTGTGGCCACCAGAAGCTACTACTGAGATAACTCAGAAAACCTCAAGCAATAGGAGCTGATTGGAATGGACTTTGCTACTCCCCAGCTAGTTGGAAGAAGTCTGCCTGGGGCAAGGAGCTTCAGAGGATGGAGGGTGACTCCACCAGCCGGTGGTGTAATTCACCCACCCTGGGGCGGATCAACTCACAGGGAAGTGAACCTGATCCTTAATGGGAGGTATCAGGGCTCTGTAATCAACACTGCTTGGGAAGACTTGTGGCCCAGGGCAGAGATGGGTGAACTCAGAGCAGAAAGACCTGATTCTGCCATAACTCATCATCAGTCTTTAGTTTTCTTCTGCTGCAAAAGAGTGGGTAGTTCACTATCGTTTTAACATTTTCTAGCTAGATTACTTTCCCTTCTAGACAAGGCTACTCTCCTGTGACACTCATCAGGCTGGTTTCCCAATATACAGAGGAAGGGGCTCTTAGAAGCAGCAGAAGTTAAATTTCAGGTCACCATCATTATTAGAAACTAGCGTTTCTCTCTGTGCACTAAGATAAAGCACCACCTCTCAATCTAACCTCAGATATGCGGACGACACCACCGTAATAGCAGAAAAGTGAAGAGAAACTCAAGAGCCTCTTGATGAAAGAGAAGAGTGAAAAGACTGGATTAAAACTCAACATTCAAAAAACTAAGATCATGGCAAATAGAAGGGAAAAAAGTAGAAGCAGTGGCAGATTTTGTTTTCTTGGACTCCAAAATCACCGCGGACAGTGATTGCAGCCACGAAATTAAAAAACGCTTGCTTCTTGGGAGGAAAGCTATGACAAACCTAGACAGTATATTAAAAAGCAGGGACATCACTTTGCCAACAAAGGTCCATAGAGTCAAAGCTGTGATTTTTCCAGTAGTCATGTACAGATGTCAGAGCTGGACCATAAAGAAGGCTGAGTGCAGAAGAATTGATGCGTTTGAATTTCAGTGCTGGAGAAGATTTTTCAGAGTCCCTAGGACCGCAAGGAGATCCAACCAGTCCATCCTACAGGAAATCAGTCCTGAATATTCATTAGAAGGACTGATGCTGAAGCTGAAGCTCCAACACTTCAGCCATCTGATGTGAAGAGCTGACTCATTGGAAAAGAACCTGATGCTGGGGAAAACTGAAGGCAGAAGGAGAAGGGGATGACAGAGGATGAGATGGTTGGATGGCATCACCGACTGGATGGGCATGAGTTTGAGCAAGCTCCGGGAGACGGTGAAGGACAGGGGAGCCCGCTGTGCCGCAGTCCACGGGGCTGCAAAGTGACTTAGCGACTAAGCAACTGAGCAACAACGTCAGTTACCAGATGAAGATGCCTCCTGCAAGACTGCCCACGCCTCTCCCTCCTATGGACTCTGTGGTAGGGGTGGGGGAATGGTCCCTGGCTGCCCTTCCCAACACCATATCCCAGGCCCCATCTTCACTTTTATTTTCCTCTTTAGCACTTATTAGGGCTTCCTCAGTAGCTCAGATGGTAAAGAATCTGCCTGCCATGCAGGAGACCCAGCTTCAACCTGAGACAAGAAGATGTCTGGAGAAGGGAATGGAAACCCACTCCAGTATTCTTGCCTGGAGAACCCCATGGACAAGGAGCCTGGCGGGCTGCTACAGGCCATGGGGTCATAAAGACTGAGTGGACATGCCTGAGTCATTAACACTGTCAGTACTTATCAACATCTAGCATGGGATACAGTTTATTCATCTCACTTATTGCTGTCTCCTCTCTATGAAAGTATATTCTGCTTTATTCGCAGCTGAATTTTTAGCACCTAGAAAAATACCTGGCACATAACAGGCACTCAACAAGTATTGGTTGAATGCATAAATAAATATTATTTACTGTTATGATAGGACAATAGCCATTTTTAAAAGAGGGACATGTGTCAGGCATATAACCAAAATAAAGGCAGCCCCTGCCTTCTGGAGGTTTTCCAGCTTCAGATTACAGGAAAGGCCCACTTACCTTCTACCGAAAACAACAACAACAAAATGAACACATGGCCAATCATGACACAATCTTGTTTCTGACATAAATCAGGGGATGTGGGCTCAGGTTGATAAGAGAATCAGATAAACGCATTATTCTAGAAGGTTTCCAGTCCGGGCTCAGAGGACACAGAGTAAACACAGGTGTCTTAAAGGCTTTTCTGCTGGAGAAGAGTCAGGCCGCTTGCGGCCTAGGCTTTGCTTCTTAAGCCCAAAGGGTAGTGAATTGCCCCAACAGCTCCATAACAGAAGAAAACCAGAATCTTTCTGCCCTAAATGACTCCCAAACCCAGCGCCTGATGCAGTCTGAAGCGGCAGGCAGTGACAGGCCCACCCCGTGTTCCTCTTTACTCTCTGAAAGTCACGCTTTCTCGTCTCCTCGTCTGTTTACCACTTCCGGGCTCATCCTTTGCATTGGCAGAATTCACTGCCCTCCAGCTATGGGACTGGGGAGCCCGTTTCCAGGCGGGTTGCCAGGTAGGGCCCATTTCAGCTAGGACAGGCTACCCCACGTGCCTCATGGCCCTCTGCGTCTCCAAGCCAGCGAGAGGGTATCCGGACCGTCTCAGGTGTCTGAGGATTGGGAAACAGCCACCCACCACAGTAGCTCAAGCTGAGAGTTTGGCCATCTTCCTTAATTCCTCCTCACCCACCCAAGTGTGTTTAACTCTATCTCCACGTATGTATCAAGTGCATCCACTCAACCCCAACTCAGCTTCACTGCTCTGGCCACAGAGTCCATCATGGGCCACCTAATATCATGCAGCAGCCCAACATTCTCCTTGCCTCCCCACAATCGGATCTGACTTTCGTAACTGCCTTTCTAACTCTCGGTTATCCCCAAGATAAGGACAAAGTCCCTAGCCTAGTTTACGAATGGCATTCCTAACCTAGCCCTGTTGATCTCTCTGATTTCACCTCTGGCTTCTCTGTCTGCCCTGCTCTCCACATGGAGTAAAAATCCAGGGATTTCCTGGCAGTCCAGTGGTTAAGACTTTGCCTTCCAATGTAGGCGGGTGCGGGTTTGATCCCTGGTCTGGGAACTAAGATCCCACACGCCTCAAAGTCAAAAAAGCAAAATGTAAAGCAGAAGCAAATTGCAACAAATTCAATCAAGAGTTTTAAAATGGTCCTCATAAAAAAAGAAGAAGAAGAAAATCCAGAATCTCCGTCCTCAGGCTTCTCCTAATTATTCACAGACTTCCTCCCTGCCCCTCGGCTGTACCTTTCAGAACTGCTTGCTGTTCACCCACACCCAGTACACACTACCAGCAGTCTCACCTTCCTGGATCATTCTGTCCGCCCGTCAGCCTTCTCAGGTATCACCTTGGAAATCATGTCTTTAGGAACTCTTCCCCAAACCTTCAGTTCTGCCATTTGCCGTACTTACTCCCCACGCCACTCAGCGCATCCTGGTATCACTGTCCGTCTGTAGCCCCATCAGATGATAAGAAGCCCTTTTAGGTGGGAACCATACCTTGTTCTCTATCGCATCTCGTGTCGTAAGATGGTGACTAGCAAATACAAAGCACCACATTCTTCAAAAAGTCCATGCGTGAGAGTTGCATCTTCTCCAAGTCCGTGATTCTGGAGGGCAACCCATCCAAAGCCAGGGTTAAATCCTGAGCACTCCCAAAGGTGAGTCCTTGAGTTAGAAACAAGTGAGGGCTTCCCTGGTGGTCCCGTGGTTAGGGGTCCACCGTGCAATGCAGGGGCCGCCGGTTCAGTCCTTGGCCAGAGACGACCCCACGTGCCTCAGGGAGACTAAGCCCCCGTGCCACAACTACTGAGCCCGCTACTGAGCCCAGTACTGCAGCTTCCGAAGCCCTGCTCCACAGCAAGAGAAGCCACCTCAACGAGAAGCCCAGGCACTGCAATGAAGACACAGCACAGCCAAAAAGCAAACAAATGATCAAGAAAAATTAAAGAAAAAATAAAAGAGGTGGTAACAAGGTTCCTCTGGCTCTTCCTTTGGTTGTGAGGTTTTTACAAAAAACCTTTCAGGACGTGAAGCAAGCGGTCGAATGTGACCACGTTCTCCAGCATCCACAGGTGAGAAATCAAGGTGAAACATAATTCTCAAAGCACTTTCCTCTCTAGGGAGCTCCCTGGAAGAAATGGCCAGAATGCAGGTTTTCAGCTAAAAGGAAAACGGGTCGCAGCTCCTCGAATCGGCCGGGGCCTCCCCCACCATCTGTGGGTGGTGCTAACATCAGCGCCCTCCAGGAGAACCTGCACGTGCTCTTCAAGGGCCAGCGGGCTTCAAATGCCCCGCCCCTCCCACCGCTCCTGGGGTGAGGGAACCGAGCGCCCAGCCCCCTCCATCTACAAGGAAGGCGGCTGAGATCGCCTCCAGCGTCTCCTCCGCTGGTCTTCAGGGACCACACCCGCCTGAATTCACACACAGAAGGCGGAGTGACGGGACCCCCGTAGATCACACACAGCCAGCCCTTCTGGGTCTCGGACCCCCGGCCGGGCCCCATGTTCCCTCCTCCTGAAACCCCATCCCCAGATGTTCACTTAGCCGGCAGCTCCTCCCGGAAGCTTCCAAAGCTCTCACTTCCAAGCGGGGTCTGCCCCCAGCCTCTCCGCCCGCAGGGGTGAGACAGCGGCCACCCTCCTCACTCGGAAATTCCTTGGTGCACAGTGAGCCCAAACAAGCGGAAACGTCGGAGTCGAGCAGAGAAAGGTTTATTGCAGGGCCGCACAAGGAGACTCCTGCCCTAAAAATTCCCGAATTCCCCTAAGTGAGCAGTGTTTCGGCAAAGCGCTTTTTAAAGGCCAGATTGCAGGGCAGGGGCTGAGGGGGGCGGGGAGGGGTCCCAGGGTGAGCCATCAGCTCATGCACAGCTCTCTGACTGGCTACTGGCGAGGGGGCAAGGCTGGTCACAGGAGTTCAGCCGTCAGTCCCTAGGCCGAAGAAGCCCTGGGGCCAGGAGCTCACGGTTATCAAGTAGTTAACATCTTCTATTGGAGACAGGTTTTTACATATGCAAAACAACTCAGGAAATGTACATCAAACACTATTATCTAACTCAACATTCAAAAAACGGAGATCAAGTCATCCAGTCCCATCACTTCTTGGCAAATAGATGGGGAAACAATGGAGACAGTGACAAACTTTATTTTCTTGGGCTCCAAAATCACTGCAGATGGTGACTGCAGCCATGAAATTAAAAGACGCTGCTCCTTGGAAGAAAAGCTATGACCAACCTAGACAGCATGTTAAAAAGCAGAGACACTGAAGGAGGAAACAGACAGAACAGGCTCCACCTTGAAAGCAGGACTCCATCTTGGGCCGGACTGTGGCCTCTGAGCTCTATGCCCAGAATCTATGGAAACGACACACCAACTGGAAAACCAGGCCCCTGGCAGGAAGAGACCCAGGGCTCTCCATCGCCTAAAAGAATACCCTAATTATCTATGTTAACCGAATAGAATCATACATTCTGTTATGCTTATTGGGGTATGACCACAAGCCTGTTGATAATTGGCCACTGTTAACTACCTAGGCTTAAGGCATATGAATCACAGGTTAACTTTGATTGTATCTTTCTTTTTCCTTTGTTCAGATTAGTTTCAGGGAATTTGGGGAGGTGGGTTTGGGCATGTACACTTAGGGTATATAAGGTTTTCACAAAACCTGGTCGGGGTCCTTGGCTAATGGGAGACACGGCCTTGGGCCCACCGGTGTGATAAACTGCACTCCACTATCTGCACTGTCCTTCTGAGTGAGTTTGTTTCCTGCAAGGTGTGGCTACAACAACACTACTTTGCTGACAAAGGTCCGTCTAGCCCAAGCTATGGTTTTTCCCGTAGTCATGTATGGGTGTGAGAGTTGGACCATAAAGAAGTCTGAGCAGCAAAGAATTGATGCTTTCAAATTGTGGTGCTGGGGAAGACTCTTGAGAGTCCCTTGGACAGCAGGGAGATCAAACCAGTCAATCCTAAAGGAAATCAGTCCTGAATATTCATTGGAAGGACTGATGCTGAAGCTGAAGCTCCAGTACTTTGGCCACCTGATGTGAAGAATTGACTCATTTGAAAAGACCCTGATGCTGGGAAAGATTGAAGGCGGGAGGAGAAGGGGACGACAGGATGAGATGGTTGGATGGCATCACCGACTCGATGGACATGAGTTTGAGCAAACTCCGGGAGTTAGTGATGGACAGGGAGGCCTGGCGTGCTGTCGTCCGTGGGGTCACAAAGAGTCGGACATGACAGAGCAACTGAACTGAACTGAGGTACTTTAGAGAGAAGCTAAAGCAGAGGATCTGGGGGAGGGGTCTGTCCCAGGAAGGCCCTATGGGGTCTTGGAAATTTGGTTTTGCTGTCTTCCTCAAACACTGGCTCCATGAGGGCAAACAGCTGCTCGGTCTGTCTGCCACTGCAGGGCCGGGTCAGCACAGTGCCCAGGCGAGGTTTACTATCCAATGAGCAAAGACTGGTCCTGCATTGCCTGAGTGGCCAAAGTCTGAAGGTCAGTTTTCCAATGGCTGCATTTCAATGGGCTAAATTCCTCATAAGCGAGTCAAAAGCTGAGACTGCGGCAATTATCCGGAGTTCAGATGCAAAACCCCCCCCTGGACCTCAAATCTCCATTTCAAGAGACAATGCCCGTTTCCAGTTCTGGACCTGGCCGTGTGTAAATCTCCCCATAAGCTCCTTACCTACTGACCGTGGGCAAGAGGGCTTTCTCCTTCCTCCCCAAGTGGGGAGTTTGAAAAGAGTGAGGTGCTGGTGTCTTATGGACTTGCATGCAGATGGTTTGGGATGGGGTTTTGGTTCCCATTTCCACCCTTTACTTAGAAAAGAGGGCTTCCCTGGTGGCCCAGACAGTGAAGAATCTGCCTGCAATGCAGGAGACCTGGGTTCGCTCCCAGGAAGGTCTCCTGGAGGAGGGCATGGCAACCCACTCCAGTATTCTGGAGAGTCCCATGGACAGAGGAGCCTGGCGGGCTATAGTCCATGGGGTCACAGAGTTGGACATGACTGACACTTCCACTCTCACACTATATATATAATAGATAAATAACAAGAATCCGGACATGACTGAGCGACTGAACTGAACTGAACAAGAACCCACTGTATAGCACAGGCAACTATACTCAACGTCTTGAAATAACCTATAATGGAAAAGAATCTGAAAAGTAATATACATATTACTATATATAATAACTATTACTGAATACAAACTCGTCCTGCTTGGCAAAGCGAGCTGGCTGCCCGAGCAGATGGCAGACTGATGTCTCAAACAACCGTCTTCCCTGGGTCTGAGGCCAGGTTCCTCTATGGGTAAGAGATGGGGGAGGTGAGGAAACAAAGTAAAAAGGCCAGTGATCTTGCAAATACCTCCTAGAATGGCAAGCCTCTGGCAGGGGGATATATTAATTTCTTCCTTCCTGCCATCCACAGGTGGATAGGGTTCTAAACAAAGGCATTTTAACTTAACAGTCAGGCAGAGGGGCAGGATTCTCTGAGGCAGGCCATTTTGTGTGATTATAATAACAATAGCAATGAAAAGCAAGTCAAAGCAACAGTTCCAATAGAGTCAGAATTGGCTTTTTCCTGCAACAATACTATGTATTGTGTTATATAATATACATATATATAATATATTGGACATATATATTAATACATGTACAAAATATTATATGATATTATATATAGTATTCTTATATATTAATATAAGAATATTATATGGAGTGTTAAATAATATTTTCTGCAACAATACTATATTTAACATGATGTATAGTATAATATTATATTACATATTAATATATGACTTCCCTGTTGGCTCAGACGGTAAAGCGTCCGTCTACAATGCGGGAGACCCGGGTTCCATCCCTGGGTGGGGAAGATCCTCTGGAGAAGGAAATGGCAACCCACTCCAGTACTCTCGCCTGGAAAATCCTATGGGAGAAGCCTGGTAGGCTACAGTCCATGGGGTCGCAAAGAGTCGGACACGAATATATAACACGATGTATAGTATAATATTATATTATATATTGATATATAGCTGAATCACTTTGCTTTATACCTGAAACTAATACAGCATTGTAAATGAACAATACTTGAATAAAAACTAGAAAAAGTTTCACCTTGGTTATCTCAATTTAAATCTTTAAAAGAAAGAAATCTGGACCTTCCTGGTGGTCCAGAGGTTGAGAATCGGCCTGCCAGCGCAGGGCATGGCTTGATCCCTGGTCCAGGAAGATCCCACATGCTTCAGGGTCACTGAGCCCGTGTGCCGAGAGCCCAAGCTCCACAAGAGAAGCCCCCACAGAGAAGGCCACACACGGCCATGAACAGCAGCCCCAGCTCGCCACAACGAGAGGAAAACCCACACTGCGCCAGAGACCCAGCACAGCCAAAATGAGTGAATGAAAGAAACCTGCATACGTCTGCTGCTCTCCTGCTTTTTAATCTTTTTTTTAAATAGGATTTATTCTTGGAGCAATTTCAGGTTAACTGAGTGGAAAGTAGAGAGATTTCCAACACGCCCCCAATCTTCAGGGGTGATCGCCTCCCCAACTGTCAACATCCCCCCGGTGTGGTAAGCTTGTTACAGCTAATAAAGCTACACTGACTGTATCATCACTGTTGTTGTTTAGTCGCTAAGTCGTGTCCGACACTTTTGTGACCCCATGGACTGTAGCCCGCCAGGCGCCTCTGTCCATGGGATTTCCCAGACAAGAATACTGGAGTGGGTTTCTATTTCCTCCTCCAGGGGATCTTCCCCACCCAGGGATCAAACTTCGGTCTCCTGCATTGGCAGGGAAATTCTTTACCACTGGGCCCCCAGGGAAGAGTCCTAGTTCACATTAGGGTTCCCTTTTGGTGTTATACTTCCTGTGGGTTTGGAGAAGTATAATCCACCATAGGAATCTCAGACAGAGTAGTTTCACTGCCTAAATGTGGTTTGGAGATTTTTTTTTTTTTAACTCTCATTCTTAAAAATTCAAATGAACCCTTCACTGTTACCATATTCAAGAAAAATATAAAGACAACATTCCAAACATATATACAGTGATGTCTGGCATTCAAATCCAGAAAGCTGTTGGATAAGATTAAATAAGTGAATAAACTTAGTTTTCCTTTAGTTATGTAGGGGGGAAAAAAAGTCTAACGCTCAAGGTTGTTCAGAATCAGACATCAGGCACCCGCTCTAATCTCTACCCCAGCCTGCCTTCTTTCATCACTGCTGCTCCGGCACATTTTGTTCACTCAAGCCCCCGCATCTTTGCTCAGGCTGCTCCTCCCCCGAGCATCCTCTGTCCACCTAGTCACCATCCATCCTTCGCGGCTCAGGTGTGTCCAAGGGCACCCAGGAAGCCGCTGCCGGTGCCCCCACGCCTCCCGATATTCCCCTCACTGACCTCCCGCTCAGTCACTGCTCCATCATTTGCTTTTGATTCATATCCTGGTTTTTACTGCTAGTTAAAATTTTATATGTGTCAGTCTCGTCTCCCCCAACTGAATT